AATCGATGCTTTGATTTGGGGGATTTTAATTTGAATTGCTAATATTGTTTGTGATCTGACCTCAACTTCTCAACGTGCCGAACTCATCGCCACACGTAAATGCGCCGAGTGCAGAGAGACTATACTTACCTATCGATCAACAATTTTCGTCTTTTATTCTTGCCCACAATTTTATATATTTTTTTGTCTTTATAAAATCTCTTCAAGATGATGAGCATAGCCCAATTGCTGCAGGCAGCAGAATATTTAGAGAGGAGAGAACGCGGTAAGTTTCGTTGACAGTGGAATGTTTTGGTCGTCAGATGGACATGCTGTGTGTTTGTTCTTCTCGGCTGACAGCTGAGTTTTCCCCATCATGCCCAACAAAATTCTGATCTAGACCCTTTTTTGCAGAAGCAGAGCACGGATATGCATCACCACTGCCATTACACGACGAGCCATCACGCAAGAGGCTAAAAGCTAAGAAAATTCTGGGTAACAGGTGAGTAATGTGGAAGAAAAAATCGGGGATTTTTTTGACGTTTTCCTGTTTCGATGTTGACTCGTAGATATCTGAATGTAAACAAACCGACCAGCTGATCTTATGGGCTGAGTCTCCTGCAATACCAGGGCAAAATAGTCTTTTAAAATTTGCGTAAATCTACTCGTATATTCTTTGCTTTAAACAATGATATTTGTATTTGTGTTATTTCTGATTTTTTTTCTTGAAGCCTATAACTTAAATTTGGACAGTCGACGTGGCCGGGCGCCATTTTCTGTTGACGTTTTTTTTCCATGGTATTTTACTTGGTGCCGTCGTTAGCTCAAATTGTCACGTGAAATTGGCATATTTTTCTGGCTGCCGTTTTCGAAATTTTCAACCAATTTTGTAGATTGGATGCCAAATTCGAAAGATTTTCATCCGTTTGTGTTTGAGCGCGAGGACGTGAATGTGTATGTTGGCACAAAAGGCCAGCTGCCTGTTCGATCGTCTCCCGATACAGTGCGCGGTCTTTTCTGTAGGGAAGGCTAAATAACAAATTAATTAGCGCGATAGTATATATTTTGTGTGAAGTCTTATTAAGCCCGTAGTTTTCCCTGAAATCTCAGAAAAATTTTTATATTTCCCCTGCATTTTTATCGCCTTGATCGCTTTAATAATTCCCCTCCCACTACTGTGACCCGCAAACGTGTGCGGGGTCAGACTATCTCAGCTGCTTGGAAAATAACATAACAGCAAGCACTGCTGATAAAATTCACAGTACCGTTCAATCTAATTTTTGTTTCATTTTTTTGTTTCATTTTGCAGTCGTTCCACTCACAACGAACTAGAGAAAAATAGGTGAGTGTGTGTAAAGATGTGCGTACCTATGTGAGACTATTTTTTCCGTTGCGTCGCGTATTTGGTTTCCCTCCCACCACACATGAATACAGCGGGTGTAAAGGGATAATGCCCGCTTATGAATAATGCATGTTTTGTTTTCAAAGATTCTATTTTTACGGGGTTTGCAAGATATATCGACTGCTGGACAGCCAAACAACGGCTTTTTTTGTTGAGTATTGTGTAGACAGTATGTGTGGAGTCCTATTTTTTGGAAATTACAGACGCCATGTGTGTGCATGACTTTCACTATCTGTCACGGTATTTTAAATGTGTATTCACATGTCTTTTGATATTTTTGTTGTGCCGGCCGGCGACGTGATAAGGCATGAGTGTGCGCGTGTAAATTTCTGCAGCCTTGGCCCGTTGTCATCCTCATATTGAATTTACCTTCAGGTCATTGTTAAGCATTGATGACGTCAACAAAAGACTTCCACACTTTCGTATATTGTGCTATATACATGAAAAATAAAAAAATATTCTCAGATTTTGCTGGGTTGGCGCCAGTTACTATGTGAATTAACACTTAACAGTCCTGGGTTTTAAAAAAAAAAATTGAGGAAAGAAGCAGTCATCTATGCCTCATTTTTATTTTTAGTAAGAAAAAAAAATATTAATATTAATTTTCTCCAATTACAAAAGACAAAGGAAACCGAAATCAATTTTTTTGCATAAAGTATTTTTTAAAAGAAGCATGTTGCATCAAATTTGGCATGCCTTTGAAAAAAAATCAGTTGTCATTTAAGCTCTCAATGGTCAAAAATTTATTGCTGTATTACATCATAAGCAAGCCTTTAGCTGTCATGAAAGAAAATACTAGGTCTGGAATGATAAAAATGTGACACTGTTTATTTTCCAGTGACACATTTTTGTATGCAGTAATGTATGGCCAGCGTTTTTTTTGCATACAATAGAACTAGCACTTAAAGTGCAGTACTCTGGCTTTCTATTGGATTACAGCTATGCTAATGTGTGACCGATTTAGCTGTGTAGCAGTGACCCTTGTATTCTAGCTTCATATACAAGCCTGTCATTGTGAAAAAAAATCCACATGTACTTTGAAAGTAGCAAACACATTGCTTCGAAAAAAACCTTCCTTGTATGGCATGTACATGTTACTATCGTGTGGGTGGGTTGGTGAGTGTAAGGGGGATACCAAATTGCGTTCTGACCTCATCTTCTATTATTAGCTAATTGAATGCAAAGGTTTTTGGTTTCTATTCTGTCTTTCTTCTGGGAAGAAATATTTATTAGTTTTGAAGGTGGCTTATGAAACTGACATTGCCAAGCAAAATTGTCAATATTGTAGATTTCCCATGAGGATTGTATTTGACACTGGCTTTGAGTGCTCTATGAAATTTCATTTCCATTTATCAGATAAAGCAGCCAACCCAAATTGAAAGTATTGTGTGTGAAAAAAAAATTACAAAACCTTTTCAATCTCATGATGGCCAGTTTTAATGTTATTGCAATTTACTTTTTTCCAACTAGTTAATTAACTTGTCTATCCCATGTTACATGGTGGTTGACTTTCAAAAGAAGTTGATTATTATAATTCGAAGCCCCATGTCTATTTCATGCTGACAACCCCAATATTAGATTATTGCTGGAAACAATGCTACTTGAAATAGAGGATAGATGCCTGTTTATTAATGATTTTTCTTAATGAATAATTGTGTACACAGTTCATATCATTTCAGTAAATGGAGTCTGCTTGAATTGGAAATGGATTTTCAACATAAAAAAGCAAAGAAATTTCCTTGAAATGTAATTTGAAATTATACCATATTGATTTTTTTTGCCTTTTAAGTGTCTCAGTTAGAATGTAAAAAAAAAATATGAGAACTGAAATAATTTTTATGTGTAGTGTGACAGGATATCAGTATTTTTTTTGTCTTTTCACCATTTTAGAAGTAAATGCGACACTCGCATTGTGTTCATATTTTAGTGCATATAACCTAAAATTGTTTGTCAAAATATATATATAATTAGTTACATACAAGTCAAACAGCATTTCGACTTTTTTTTTTACTTGATCTGTCAATTTAAAAAAAAACAAATAGTATGCAAACATTTATAATTTAACATCAGTTACCATATATACCACAATGAAACAAATTTTGTCATTAAAACCGCAGCTGAAAATAGTGACTTTTTGAATAGCCATTAAGATACTATATCATTGGTTCTCCCCATACCATTGAGAAAAATGTTGAGATATTAAGATATATTCTAGCCATATGACACACTGGTAAAATGCCATTATTTTTCATTCAGCTTGTCTTCATTCATCACTTTTCTATTCTAATGTTCTTTTGGAGATATTCTAAAACGTTTGTCAAAATACTAGTACTTTGTAAAATGTATTAAGAGTAATTTTTCATATTTTTAGTTAACTTCATCAGCCCATTAAAATATTTGTCTTGGCTTTTGTAAGGAGGTTATGTCAGCTTGGGAACAATTGTATGTGTGCGTGGTTTGTTAAAACTGTATGCCCCCCCCCCAGTTCTCAGAATATGATATTCACTTATCATAATGTATTGTTTGAACTTTATAAGGATATAGTTTTGTAATGTGTATGTTTAACATATTTAAATTGGGAAAAAAAAACCTGCTGCTTTTGTTGTGGTATCAATTCTATTTCTGGTTCAGAAACTCTCATTTGACCTGACTGTGTCAAAGCTCCTATTTCTTTCTTAAGTAGGTTGATCTGCTTCAGTTTCTTTGTGATGGACAGCAACTTTCAGTCCAGTCTGCCATATTGGCCTAGAGTATTGTTTACAACTTTCCTTGCATTCAAAATCTAACTAAGTAGTCAGGATTTTTTTTTTCACTACCCAGGTTTTTTTGGTCATGCTTGGGGAAAATAGTGATATTGTTTCTGTGTATAATCAGAGCATTGCTGGCCTGTGTAACATTATACACAACCTTTATTGGGTCAAGGCTGGCAGGGGTTCTTTAATGACACATGTGCCTTACTGCAGATGAAACCTGTCAGTGCCTTGAAGATGATGGCCACTGAGGGCCTGCATATTTTATGATAATTAGTTCATTTTCCTCAACTAATAATGACCTGTGAGAGTAAGTTCAGCATCAATGCAAGCTGCTGATCATGAATGACCTGGCTGAGTGCCAGAGCAATGTTGTAAACAAAGTTGCCCTACTTTGCTGCTTACATCCTCATTTAAATAACACTCTCTCTTTTTTTTCGTAGGAGAGCCCATCTTCGAAACTGCCTGGAAGGCCTTAAAGAAATGGTGCCACTTGGTCCTGAAGCCACAAGACATACCACTCTAGGGCTCCTAACAAAAGCAAGAGTATTTATAAAGGTAACAAAAAAATGTGCAAATCTGTCTAGTATAAATCTTTCATGCATGTTTTTAATTTAGGGAGTATGAGGGATATGACATCTATTGTATATTTCAATATCTATAATCAGAGCACAAGTGATTTATTTCATGCATGTGTACATGTGTCAATGGAAATGCTATAACCTGATGGTTGTTGTCATGACAACTGCTGATGCCTTATCTAGTACATTTCAATGGATAAACAAAAGAGAAGGATGGGTTGTAGTGTAACAGCTTTGCTTTATTATCTGTTCTTGGTCACTACCACTGTTGATTAATGTACTATCCTTTCAAGTTTGTGCTCCAGCTGGCTGTAAAACCATTAACATTTGTTAATCAAAAAATAATTGGACGAAGGAAAACAGATTTCAGTTCTGTTTAAAGTTCAGTATCTACAATAAAAAAAATGTATTTAATGCTTCAATAAAAGAAAATTGAAATATCACATCACACTCAACTATAAATCCACTTGAACCATGTATTATTTTATTTTTATTATTCCTTCCTAGAATTTAGAAGACAAAGAGAAAAAAAACCAGCAGCTTAAAGATCAACTAAATCGGGAACACAGGTTTTTGAAGCGAAGGCTTGAGCAGCTAGACACCAATGTATTTAGGAAATCACGAAAACTCAGGCAAGACAGTACAGGCTATTCGGAAGATTCAGAAAAAGGTAGGTCCATTCAGTTTATTTTTCTTTTCTGAATTGTCAGCTGTGAGGTGGTTACATTCACTGGCTGGTTTTGAGAACTTAAATTGGTCATTAGAGATGCATACATGTAATGTGGTTACATTTTAATCAGTTTTATAAATGCTAATGAATGTACTGACTGACGCCCATGAGGAAATTATGATGGTATGCCCAATTTGAATAACAATCAGCAGTCATTGTAATTAATTGCACTGGGGTTTATAAATGGTAAATGGGCTCCTAAGTGTATGTGATAGCTTTTTGGAGAAAGATATTTTGTTAACACATAGCCTGCTGAAAAACATCCATGGATAGCTGAATTAAATGTCACCTGGCAATGTGTAGATTACGGTAGATTTCAATGGAATGAAGCAGATTTCAGGAGGTAGAATACAGTAGAATACCACAGAATATTCCAAAAGGTAGAATATGAAAAATTTCAGTATAATACGGTATATTTCAGTAGAATATGCTCAATTTCAGAAGGCAGAATATGATAGATTTCAGGTAGAGAATATAGTAGATTGGAATAGAATATAGGCGTAGATTTAAAAATAACCATAGAGACTTTCTCAGCTCTCGCATTATTCTCTGTTGTATGTCCCTAATATCGGCAATCTACATAATTATAATGAAGATGTGTGTTGTGTTCACAGTTGCAAGATAATCCCTGTTGTTCAAATCTGTAGACTTCCTATCTGTCTTTTGTTTCCATTGATATTTAAAACCTGCTAAATAAAGTCTGTGTGTATGCTCTGTATTTAATATGGGAAATAATTATATGGACCTTTTACTTTTAGTGGTGTTATTTTTTAAAAGTATAACGCCCATCATTAAATTGGTATTTGTTTGGCCTTTGCAGATGAGGTTGACGTCCTTGGTTACACTAGTCACAGTGATTCAGATGAGCGAAGTAGCGTTGAAACGAATGGAAGTGATGGTGGTTTTACGTTGAACAGTATCAAACTTCTTGATGTACAGGACTCGTGATTTACTCCGCCAAGAAACTCCATGTTCTAGATTTTGTATTCCATGCCACAGATTATTGTCTGGTAGAGCTTGGTGGACTAAAATGAAAAGGATAAAGCGCATGGAATAAGTTATTCGCTGTGTCAAGGCAGTATTAGCTGAAATACTTTTGTTTTGTTTTTAAATGCAGCTGCTTCCAATTTTTGTGTCTCATCAAGGCTGCTGCAGCCAGGTTAAAAGTTGAAACAGTGCCATACATGGTCCCTCATCATTCCTCAAGTCTGTAGTGAACAGGAAACTCGGGGCAGAAAGCGTCACCATCTGATTCTATGAATGAGAGACTAGTCATGTTGATTTTTAGTTGAAGAAATGTTTTGGAAAAGGTGAAGACTAATAATTTGCTTATTTCAATTGGTCACCAGCATTATTTATATTCTGAATATAGAATGAGATCGCACACAGCATTGAGAGGCCCAAATGAATGTTTATTATAATTTCAATCAGAAATTACATGTGATCAAGTTGCAACCTTATCTTTTATGCACAATTTGTAAAGTCCTATTTTTTTTTTTTAAATAACAAAACAGGACTGGAAATTAACTGAAATAGTTTTCTGAGAGAAAACTACACATCTTTGTTTTAATCAACAAAGCGCAATACCTAGAGAAAATGATAATTTTATCATTTTAATTTTTAACATCACACTACTTTGCTTAGATGCTTAGATTAACTAATTATTGTCCTATTAAGCATACAGTATGTCCAAGGCAAATTCTGGGAAGTTGGTAAATGCATATGCTCATAATGGCAGAAAGTAATGTAAAAATTTTATTTGTAATGTCATTGAAAATGACTCAAGGGACTAAGATAATATAATATTTAGTGGTCCACTATTCACACTATTGACGAGAGGTTCTGCAGTGCTTAGCAAGCCTACTTGTACCCCCTAAATCATATCTTGTTGTGCAGAGTATTACATGCTTTATTAATTAGCAAGCTGAAAAATGACTCCTCTTCCCAAATTATTTCAAAATTTACAGTGCTATTTGTGGTGGATAGCAGTTTTTAAACGGATACATGCATAATAAGCTTGGACATTGTTATGCAAACTTTTCCTTTATAAACATTTGCACTGGGGCCTGGATGTTTTGTTACACTGAACAATGGTTTTCTCCAACTAAATGGGCTTTGCTGGCAAAAGACCTAGTTGTTATCATATCCAGTCACTGAGCCATGATGACCCAAGAATCGTTGACTTTTTTTTTTTGGTCCATACACATGAGCATTCACTTTCTAGACTCAAACATTCCAAACAGAGACTCTATTTTTTTAATAGTGTCATTTTCCACATACTTAAATGGAAATAGACTGACTGATAATGTTATCATATTTGGTGCGTATATATCAACCCGGATAAGTTATCAAAACAAAACAAGGGTTGCATCTTTTTATAATCCAGCTTTATTTTGCTAATTGTTAGCAATTAGTAGAACTGCAGGGGGTGGCTAGCCTCCCACCATACCCTATTTTTGATCATTTATCAAAATAAAACGTGTGAGAATCCCATGTGTTTTCTTGGTCGTTAAAGTTACAGCCTGCTTGCTAAGCATTGCATGGCCAAATTTGAAGCACGCTACAGGTGTTGATTTCAAACCAATCAGTGATGCCCAGGGGGGTAACCTCCCTGATAAAATCGGGACTTTGAAAGTTATATGGTTATTTATTTGCGTGTGCATTTTTTTGCTAAGATGTTTTTATTAGAGAAGTGTGAAAAAAAAAAACAATTATCTGATTATCATCATGGCTGCAAGTCAACGCCAGTTTCTGTGATCGTGGTAATTTGCATGCACCGTTTTCAGCTGAAAATATCTCTTGAGTACTTTTAACCACAGAATTGAGTTTAATAGTTTTAAAAATACCAAAATTTGTCTCCTGTGTTGTAGAGAGCAATTTCTCCGCGATCATGGAGCTTTTTTTATATGGTGCTATTTATATCTTAGAGTTTTTAGCAAATACGATCAATATTTAGTATTTCTGTAAATTTGAATGTTGTATTGCATTTCAATTTTGAGAAAAAGCAATTAGCCAAACATAAAAATTTGGCTGCCATGCTCCATCCAACCTAGGGCATATATATATATATATATATGTATTATGGTTCTCGTAGAATTGTCTCTACAGAGACGAGACGTGCTGGCATAGGTTTTTACTAAAAAAACAAACCTAACGTAAAACCAGCAAAACTTTCAATTGTATATTTTGCATGTAATTTATGTGTACAGAAAAGAGTTAAAATGAAATGTATGTATAGCTGAAAAAAACAAAGAAACTTTAAAAAAAACAAATGTAGATTTTTCCCCCAGATTCTTGAAAAAGCTCTAGCTCCAACTTTTAGGAATCTCTTTTTCTAGTTCACTTAGAAATTCAGAACTGAATTAGTTATTTTTGAAATTATTGGTGTTTTTAGCATGGTTGTAGTCTGATAGCGTACTCTCTACTTGCCATAATGCTCTATTCTCTGCAAGGTTGGGTGGTTGTGGTACAATCCCTCTCAGGTTTAAACAACATGCAGTTTTTTGGTGTTTAGGCAAAAAAATACTTTTTTGGCAGATTTTCAGGTGTCCTCTAGATTTGAATGTATATTGCAGAGCGTATACGTGTGTATGTGTGTATATATACCTGACAGAAATTTGATGTATTATTACCTTTAACCAGTTGTTCTGATATAAATAAATTTTTTTTTTATTTCCCAGCAAAAAAACTCATTTTGCATTGTCTTTTTTTTTTCCTGTAAAGTATTCATTTCCAGAGAAGCCCTGCAAGCAACCTAGTGTTGGCAGTATTCAAGTTCAACGCATTGAATTGTTACCATCGGTACAGGAAGTCGTTATCAATTCAGTATTAGTCTTCAATTTCTACTGGTAAAAAAAAAATGCATTTTACGAGGGGAAAAGTTCACACATCTGCAGATAGGTAGATTGTTGGACTATCGATGGCTGTGACCTGGTTCATATGCTGTGTTCCCTTCATTGACTTTGATGCCAAGCAAGATCAAAGTTTTCAATCAACGTTTGCATAGGCTAAGCAGCATGTGTACCGATTGTCTGTTGCTAGTTTACACTGCCTGGCATGAGTCTCGTTACAGAGTTTGGCTTGCACAAAAACAAGATGACCTGAGAGACCATAACTGCCAACTGCTGCTATTAAGTGAAAGCCCATGCAGGATGTGAAGTCCTGATACAGTTTCTCACTCAGTTACTACCAAATTTATTTGTTGTTTACCTGCTTTAATTGTTGCTGTTTATGTAAGGTGTTTGCCCATAACTGCAAAATGCTGGTTGTTCCACCATTAGCGATCGCATATTATACGTGGTCTAATATTATCTTGCTTCAATAAACCACATTGAAAAACCAGGTGTCTAGCAAACGAAGCTTTACTTTGTTGTTGCCGACTTTACGTTTAATGGATATAAATATTTCTGTTCAAAGTACAGCGCATGTAATTTGACCAGTAGTTGATATATCTATATAGTATGAGGTACTAAAAAAAAAAAATTAGACTGCTAGAATTAAAATGTTCTGTGCAAGGTTTTTGAATATTGCTTTCAGTATACATGTATTTTATAAATTTAAATTCACAGGCTTATACTTATTAATATATACATTTCAATCTGATGAGTACTACCGGTATATATTTTATGTCAATTTCTCTGATCGGATCCTGTTCATACATAGCTGCAGACTGCCTGATTAGTTAACCTGCCAGAGTACAGACTCCATTTTTGATAAAAAGTTAGTTCCACCACGGAACACCCTCAAGTTTGAATTACGAAATTTTTTTTTTACAGTGTACATTTTGGACATTCTTGATTGTAGGTAGCATTAACGAAATTGACAATTCTTCCTGCGATTGTAGTAAGAATGTGCGTTAAGGGGTGGTTTACTTTTTGTAAGAATTGAAAAAGGGGATCTAGGGCGTGCTATGCATTGAAGCAAATGTCTAAATTTAAATTAAATGCATGAATATTGTGCAAATATAGCTGAAATCACCAAGCGTTTAATAAAATACCCACCCTAAAATTTATCTCTGCCTTGAGAGCCAGGAATGACATTCCCCTTGGCTTCAATTCATGCATCTTTTTATGCATTCATTTATTTGTTTAAAATGTGCAGCAGTAAATGTATACTGTTCTACATTAGTTTTGATGGGTCGTTAGTTTGACACAGTGGAATTACAATACTACTGGGAGTGTAGCGTGTACAGGGTGTTTGTCACATGGCCCAGTAAAATGAATGAAACACCTCCATCCGTACCTTGAAAACACAATGCCTCCATGGCAATAGAAATGCCCTATTGTTGTCAAAGGACGCCCACGTTAGAATCCATCCATTTAAAGCAGCCACATGTTGGTACTTGTCGGAGGGGGGATTTAAAACTTGCTGCATGTTTTTAAAGGTGACATTTACACTGCCAGTTGTTTATTTAAACGTGGCACAAACTAAATTTAAAATTGACTGCATTGTTGGTTCAGTAACCTGGCATGAGTCTACAGGTTATAAAAAAAAAATACATTGATTAATTTCATGCAGGCTTGAATGAGCAAAACCTTTCAGAACACTCTCTATTAGACGGTAGTGCATGAACAACACAGGTATATGCATGCCTGGTAATTCCCGCCAGATAATGCCTTCATATTTCAGACTAATGTATTGACGCAAGCAGCGAACAAATATGAAGATTACAATCCCTGGTAGCTATTTGGAAACCCTAAAAATGTGCCTGACAATCACAATAGGTTTATTGTTTTGTTTGTTTGTCCTTAAACAGATAAGGGGTGAAGGCTCCATACAACCAAACCTTATTGTTGCTTGGGAACTTATGGACAGCTTACCTTATGATATATCATTGTTCCAATTTTAAGGAGTTAACCTTTTGAAACTTGGGGGGGGGGTATTTTTTGCTCTCATTCTTAGTCTACAATCACTAGATTTTTATCTTCCCTCATGAAAATCAGTTTGACACACCCTAAACATTTCATGTCCCTTGTCTTTCTTGTCCTGGCTCAATGTAGCTGGATCATCCTCTTATATATTGCTCTGTACTCCCTCATGTAATGTGTTGCTTGCACTCACCGAGTATACCATTCGAGCATTCACATATTGTGTTGGTGGGAGGGGGGTTAATTCCTAATTATTTTTTGTGAGCAAGATAATTGAATTAGTACAGCAACACATGTGTTTGTAATCGCTATTAAATGTCGGATAGTTTTGCCCGTTTGACTTCTCAATATGGGGACAAACTGCCATGTTCTGTAGGAACTTGCTTCCCATCCATCAATATCACCATAAAGGTGTGAATATGCACATACAAAGGGATTACAACATGAAATATGCCAGCATTTAGCAATACAGTGGCCTGCTATTGTTGCTAAATTTTAAACTAATAGGTATATACATTGTAATGCGTGGTGACAGATGGACTGACAATCATTCTCAGCATGTGGTGGTAGTTCGATGGGGGCACCCAGTCCACCCACCAGTATTTTATTAATGTTTTACTCTTGCGTCACTTAAATATATATATATGTATGTGGGGCACTGATGTTGCCTAGCACTCAATGTATACCATATTATAGTAAAAATGTTAACTATAGTTAATTTTTAAATGATTTGTATGATTCACAATTTATTCAATTACAGGTAAAACAAGTTATATTATATGGATTCTGATATGAGATTGTTTAAATGTCTTTGGCATATTTACTTAAATGTCCTTCATACCAATTGAAGGGTGTGTTTTAATGATTTGTGTTTGTATGTTTGTACAAAGTGCATTTTTGGCAGCTTTTGAAACTTTGGCTGTTAAATATAAGTATGACTTAATTGGTACAAAGTACAAAAAAAAAAAAAAAAAAGCACACAATTACAGTTGTCAGGTGGTGTTTGTAGAATTCCGATAACTCCCATTTGGTATCGAGTTCTCTTATCTACTTCCTTAAATTCAAAATTTATAAATTTTGTGTTTCTGGCAATGTAGGTCAGAGGTAGTCACATTGCATTTTACTCATATATGAGATAGATATCCAACTTATCGCAGCGATCGTCATTTTTAATATTTATTTTTTCCTTTGCTTGCAGTTAGACATTCATTTTTTTCATAAAATAAAATTTGAAATTAACATAAAAATTTGTCTTTTTCAGCAAATAAATAAATAAATAAAATAATCCCTTAAATAAAAATAACATAAACAGCTTTAACTTTGAGAGAGACAAATTTACTGTGAAAATCATGAAATTCTGCAGCAGTACAAATTTGTCTGTGGTCCTACGGCATGGAGTATCATCATCTTTCATAAACTTTTGTCTTCAAGAATGCCATGAAATTGTGAAAATTGCTAGCGTCAAAAATGTACAGGACTCGTATTAAATGCTTTAAACAAGACAGACATAGAATAGCTTCGTAGATTAAATGTCAATAAACAAATGACATACATAGATTTTTTTTTAGGAGTCCGTTTCTATTAAAAAAACAAAATGGCATCTATTTTCAAGAGCATAATAAAAAGTCTTGTGTTGATGTGTAAACATGATAGACCCTAAAAATAAGCTCCATGAGGTAATTTTGAATTTTCAGGAAAATTCACACAAAACATTGGCGATAATATTGATTTACATTCATGAAAATAGATGTAAATATCTTGAAACAATAATAAAATTTAATTATCCAGCTATTATATTTTGTTTTACTTTGTATCACCGACTTTTATTTTGCATAATGAATGCAGGTCATTGACCAAGCAGCTTGGCTACGTGGTAAAAAGGCTTTTCTGTAGACAGACAGTCAGTTCATAGTGACATAAAATAATGCCATAACTAAAATAGTTGTGCTGAAAGAGCATTTTGTATTGTATGTACAAAGGTATTAATTGGTTATTTCAACATCCATATTACAGGGGGAAGCCATTAACATGGATAAATACGTCCATGGCAAAAATAACCTCTCGCTCATTTTCGTCTGTATGTGCATTAGTGCAACTTGTGTTCATCAAGGTATATGTAAATTTATAAATTTATTTTCAATTACATTGATATATTTTAATCATAATTAATATATATTGAAATATATTTGTAAAAATGCAATACAGTATGTTGAAGACAATATATACAAATCCGGCATGAAAATATAATTGTAATTTTGACATGTAAAAATAGATGGCTGAACAAATTTAAATAATTATAATTTTTCTTATTTTTTTTCCCGCTAATATCATAATTTTGGTCAATGTCAGGATGACCTGCATGTAAGTGTATCTTACTAAGCTTACTGTGAAAGGCCTTGAAAGTTTGAGGGTTTGACCAAATTCATTTGAGGAGGGATTGAAAGAATGGTCTAATTATGTGACCTGATAATAAAGGGGAAAGTTATAGTCTTTGTGTCATCGTCGTTATTGTCATTAAATATTTCACTTATGGTCACATTAACAAACGTAATTTTTATCCAATCATTTTCAAACTTGGCTATATCAGTATGATGTATAATTAGTGAAATATCAAATGTGAAAATGCTTTTTTTCCCATCCTTATTCAATGTTCATGCTCTATAGATTCATTTTTCTTATATGATTTCCAATAATATATTTGTATATGTTTTGCATAATTATAACCGTTGTCAACTGGATATTCCACAATCATGGAATTAGGTTTTTGACAAACAAAAATTATGTCTTAAGGTCAGTTAAAGTTCAACACAAACAATCTTGTTT